CTACCCCATTACCTTTTCTATGTACACACATATACCCCATTACCTTTTCTATGTACACACATATACCCCATCACCTTTTCTATGTACACACGTCTACCCCATCACCTTTTCTATGTACACACGTCTACCCCATTACCTTTTCTATGTACACACATATACCCTCATCACTTTTTTCTATGTACACACATCTACCCCATCACCTTACTATGTACACACGTCTACCCCATTACCTTTTCTATGTACACACGTCTACCTCATCACCTTTTCTATGTACACACATGTACCCCCATTACCTTTTCTATGTACACACATGTACCCCATCACCTTTTCTATGTACACACATCTACCCCATCACCTTTTCTATGTACACACATCTACCCCATCACCTTTTCTATGTACACACGTCTACCCCATCACCTTTTCTATGTACACACATATACCCTCATCACTTTTTTCTATGTACACACATATACCCCATCTCCTTTTCTATGTACACACATCTACCCCCATCACCTTTTCTATGTACACACATCTACCCCCATCACCTTTTCTATCTACACACGTCTACCCCATTACCTTTTCTATGTACACACATATACCCTCATCACTTTTTTCTATGTACGCACATATATCCCATCACCTTTTCTATGTACGCATATATTCCATTACTTTTTCTATGTACACACATATGCTCTCCTCACCTTTTCTATGTACACACATATACCCTCATCACCTTCAATATGTCTTAATCAGTGTTTTAAAAAAGAAAAAAATTCTTTACCTTGATTTTATATTCATGATTAGCTTTCAAATCTATAAGTTTATATTCCAGGTGCATTGATTTCCGTATGTAAATTTCATGATGTACTAACTGAGTAGTTTTCTCCAGGATTTCACCAGTGTGCAAAGTCACTGAATATGTAACCATATAGACAAGTGCAGAGAGATTTCCATTTGGCTCTAATGGTGCTTCCCATATGAGAATTATTTCTTCATAAGACAAGAAATTAGCTTTTAAATTGCGTACAGCTGAAGGTACTAGAGAAACAAAACAAATCAACAATTAGAGTCAGTCATGTTATAACAAAGTATATGCAAAACAAAGAATATGAAAAAAAGCCACTTATTGAGGTCACATTGGCACTTTGGGCCTTTTACATAACAAGAATCAACTGATAACATTAAGCAACATATAGATAAATGGTAACGATTTACATTAATTGTTATCAATTCATTTTGATGTTATTGTTGTTATTGTCATAAACACCTTTACATTCTAAAATAATCATATGAAATCTATTGAATTGAAATTATTCTAATAAATTCATTTTAAGTTGAATGTTTCAGATTGATTGAAAGGTTTGGCACCATGCATGACATCCATATGAAAGTCTCAATCTGACAAGTCCTTAGTGCAGTTCAATATTTTACCTCCTATACTTAAGAGGTTTGTTTCCTTTCAGAAGTTTCGCTTAATTCCAATGATTTTTCTTCTGATGAAGCGTCGGACGAAAGGTACCTTAAAATTTCTATTTTTAATTGAGATGATACTTTTGTATCAGACTTTTTGATTAATAAAATGTTCCCTGTTTTAAGAATACTATTTTGATGGTATGGTACTAAAATGGTATGTTTTGGTTTGATCGTTTTTGTAATGTTGTCCAAGGTGGTTATTGAAAAAACTAGAACAGTAACTTACAAAGTACAAGAACAATACAAGTAGACATTTACAAGTTCGTCTTGCAAAGCAAGCCCCCACCCCACCCACCATGAGACCAACTCTATAGATGCTTATATTCCTACTGGGACAGTCCATTTAATAGAGGTGTATCAGTTCTTTGTATACTGAGGGTTATCAGTTCATTCCCTACAACAATTTTGATACTAATCATTATTACAGTTTGACTTTGTAAACAAATACTTAGGAGAATTTTCAACAATTATTGCAGGATACATGAGAGATTTTGGACCATTTGAGAAAATTATCTGTGATTATAATAAATGATTATCATTATAAAACATAAAGCTCTCAAAAGTAAGCCAATTGAAATTAAATAAAACATAGAAAAATGAAAAATGTTATTTTTATGATATTAATGGCTATTATTTTTTCATGTGGTTCAAAGCATTTTTGGTAAACGACACAGAAAAACTTTAATTAGAAGAGCAAAACATTTGCATAACAAAAGAAATGTTTTTTTCCATTTTCTTCAATATAGCAGAAAAATTTATCACTCAGCATGGAAAGAAAATGTGTTTGGTTATATCACAGAATATATGAAAATGAAACCTAATAAAAAAGATTCAATAAACAGTTTTTAATTTTTTTTTCAATTTTATAATTGAAATTAAATTCAAATCAGAATAGTGGTGCACCTGATAAAAATCACTCTATGAATTTTACAATTGCTAAACCGTCTTTTGCAAGACTCCATTGCACTATCCTTGTACATGTGCAGCTGTGGTCACGATAAAATATTGTCCATGCAATAATTTATTTTTCATAATAGTAGTAGTAGAATTAAAATTTATCCTTGTGTCACACTAAAATTCAACTAGAAAAGTGAAAATAAGGTATATTTCCAATATGAGGAACAGTAACAACAAATATCCTTATATGTGCATATGAAAGACAAACAGAAAAAAGGGCAGGAAAAAAAGAATGAAAATATATAAAATTCTTACCTCCAGCTAATGTTCTGGTTACTAATGGCGTACCAAGGACATCTGCCCGATAATCTGTATAAAAGTTACTCACTGCAACTTGAAATACATATTTTGTGTAGGGTCTTAGAGATGATATCACAGTTTCTCTTGTGTATGTTTCCTATGAAAAACAAACAACATAAAAAGTAATTCAATATATAAAAAAAATAAAACTTTCAAAAGCATGTTTCCAAGTGCACCTCAAAAAAACATCTAATAAAACCAACAATTAAGCCTCTTCTGATTAATTTTGAGATTACTTGACCTCTTGAAGCCATTGTACTGATCCCAATGAGGAGTGGCTATACAGATATTCATAATTATGATAAGAATTATCTTGAACATCCTCTGCCAAGTTTTCCAAGAAGTAATACTCAAGAGAAACCTTTCCAAAACAGAAGCTATGATCTGGAACTGGAATGAAACTAATGACGGTAACTACCCTGAATCCATAAAACATCAGAATGTAAAATTACTAAGTACTAAACACTTCAAATACCCCAGTGTATGGATCAGTTATAACAAACTAAGTATAGGAGATAAGAAATTGAACTTCACTAAGGACTCATCAGATTGATACTTTCATATGGATGTCATGCATGGTGCAAAACCCTTTCAGAAACATCTAAAATGTCAGTTGTAGACAACCACTTTTTCATATCAATGATTAAAATGGCTTCAAGCAAATGAAGCCTGTAGGTTTTAGTGAGGACCTCATGGACTGATGCTACAGAATCACAAATAAACACTATACAAAATAACAGAAACCACGTCTCTTGAGGACTTTTAACAGCAACAACAATTAAAATGGATAGCACAAAGAGAAAATAATGATATATTCAAGATGTTGAAATTCCACACTACTTCAAACAAATAGCTAGGAAGGAAACTCCCCCATCAATACTGGAAAGAGCAAATAACAGTGGACTTGAGAAACCTATTTCCCTGATGAATTGTTTTAATAGAAAGATTTTATAAATCTCAACTGAAAGTAATGCAGGCTGCTCGGTCAATGAATGCCAGATATTTCTTTATAAGGAAACAGCTAATATTACTCTTACCATTATCAAACCAAGAATTTTTCAACTGTTGTTCTGGTTCTTTTCATTAGTTTAACCTGTATATTTATTATCATATTTTTTTTCTGGTGGCTACCATTTTCTGGTTTGACGCTCTCCTTTTGCTATTTCCGTACGGATCGTACACCTAAAGATCACCAGAGAATGGATCAGCCAAAACAAAGCAAACTAGAAAACCCTCAGAAAAAAAAAGTAATATAGCTACAAATGCTATTGTCACTAAAATCTAGTCAATCAGGTTGAAGAACTCAGACTATGCCATGACAAAATCTTATAATTACAAGCAAGATAACCATCATTTACATTATTCGGACTATTGTCCTCATCTTTGTCACCATTTTTATTACAACTTTTCGTTCATTGTATGCTCCGGCCTTCTTCAGGTGGTTGGAATGTCGAACTGAACTCTTTATTTCACTCACTGGGGTAGATTCTTCTAGTTCCACGTGCCATATTTAATGGGTGTCAGTTATCAGTTATCACCTGTTAATTTCCCTCTGAATAATGTAAGTAATGTACATAATACCTCATCTCAGAAATATAGACAGATCAAGATAACCATATTTGCTTGTAACACATGTATAAGTAGAGTGTATCAGATATCAACATATAAAGTGAAACTGGAGAACTGAGTTCAAATTCCAGTCTATTCTGTTGCATTCACTTTTGCACAAATGCACTTGGCAAAGGCATGAATCTATTTCTTCTTGCCCTTCATCCCAGCCATGGGTTAAATAGCAGAGTAGACTGAGCTGTCTAACTTTCAATAGCAACTAGAAAGAAAATTCTAAATTCCCATCTATGAAGAAGGCAACTGAAAACCACTCCACCATCTTTCCCAAAAAGTCATGGAAATTCACAGATAATAACGAAAAGGAAACTGCGGAGAGCCATGAACATCTACATCCTGATGGGAGATGGTATTCAAAAAAAAAAAAAAGAAATAAGTAACTTTTCTAGCCAACATAATTTTCAGAGAAATAGTAAGAAAAAATGGTCTTATCATACAATGTCAAAAAATCATATCAAAAGAATTCCTGAATATAACCCATTAGTTTGACCAACTGTTTCTTGACTCATTGCTCACAAAATATCATTTAAATTTTGTTATATTCCTTGCTAATGGAATAAATACTTAACACCAGGTGGATAATAAAAGAAAGGCTTATTGTACATAACTAGTACAATATGAAATACGGTACAGTTATACACACAGGTCAATCTAGTAGTGAGTGTCACTAATTGGAAGGTCGGACATACTTGTGTCGTCTCTCTCTCAATCTTCCTCTAGTTTCTTGTAGACAGTTGACTTTATAAATACTTACTACATATAGTGTAATCATTCATGGAGGTGACTGGTTATTCCATTACATCAAATTTATTGAGAACTTTTGGAGGAGATATTGTGTGGAGAAACAGACAGACAAATATAAGAAACATGTTACTCTTGTACCGTCCAGCTATATTTACACCATTTATATTCAGACTATTGTCCTCATCTTTGTTGTTGTCATCACAACATTTTGGACATTGTGCCTTCTGTCCTTCCTCAGTATATCAATCTGGGTAACCTACAGGAAATTCTGAACTGAACCTTTTATTTAATATACTGGGTAGACTGTTCTTATTCTAGTTCTTATTTTCTTTAGTACTGTTTAGTTATTGCTCATCTGTTTCCACTAAGTGCAGGTACATACTGACACAAGGATTGTAATCACAACCACTATGTCACTAAATTCACAAACCAACATTTTTATCCACTAGACAATTTAATATAGTAAACTTAGAGCCTTAAATTTAACCTAGCTGCTGATTAGGTTTCAACTGCTGCTGCTGACTATCTGTTGTCCATGTTTTGATTGCTGCTACTGCTATAGTTGAAGACTTACTGTCATTTGTCTATCTTTATCAGTGGCTCCCATATTGTGTTTATTTCTATGCTAGGCCTACTAAGGAGGTCCTCATAGCCTAGAAACATTGTGATAGCAACAACAAAGATGAGGACAATAGTCCGAATATAAATAGTGTATATAATGATAACTCCTCATCCCAGAAATTCAGATAAAACTGTCCAACTTTGTTAATAATGAGATCAATAGTTTAAAATAAAAATAAAAATCTTGAACAAACTTTTTCCAATTTTTTTTTTAATAGATTAAATTTGGAATAAGAAAATTGCTGAATATATGAATTTACTGACCTGCGTACGACAATTAACAGTTTTCTTTGTACAGCTGATGTCTTCACTATCGTCTGTCCATTCACTATAATGGACAGTGTAGTTTGTGACTGGTTGAGAGACTTTCTCACATTCAGGATATCTTGTAATTCTTGGTAACAAAAGTGTCACACTAGTGTTGGTAGTTCTCAATAAGCTAATATTTGTACTTTCTGGGTATGATGAGAGACACTTGGATTCTGAAAGTAAATTTTAAAAATAATGATAAATTCTTTATAGATATGTTCAAAGATAAATGCACTTTAACTTTCTTTCAATGTTGTATTCTGTACATCTTAAGAGGCAGGTAGTGAAAGCTCCAGTGCCAAATTTTCAGGTAAAAAAAAAAAAAGAAGAGCAACACAACTACTGATTTTAGAGGTTTTCAATAAGGAAACATGTTATGAAAAGTTTATTTTGGCTAAATTAAAAATAAAATAAAATAAAGAAAAATGAACAAAGCAATAAAAATGTTCTTGGTAATTTGCATAATAAAAATGTTCTTGGTAATTTGCATATTATACTGAAAAGGTTTAAGACTTATTTCTTATTCAGTCAATCAGTTAAGTGCCATACATGATACATGCTTGGATGATTATGTCTCTTTTGATTCATGACTGACTAGGCAGATTTTCCCATAGTAGATTACCATTTCTTTCTGCAGTAGACTGGTTGCCAACCAAGGCTATAGGATCCAGTCTGTCCTTCAGTATCTGTCTATATCCATCCATTAGACATGGCACATGGAACTAGAACAGTCTACCCAGTGAGCAAAATAAAGGGTTCAATTCGACATTCCAACCACCTGAAAAAGACTGGAACATACAATGGCCAAAATGTTGTAATAAATATGGCGATAAAGATGAGGACAATAGTCCGAATAATGTAAATAGTGTGCCAGTCTGTCCTGTTATTCAACCCATAGCTTGGAGGAGAAGAGATAGTTTCATACTTTTCTTAAGGGTATTTGTGCATAAGTGAATGTAATGAACCCAATTGGAATTTGAACTCAGCTCTCCAATTTTTCATTCCATCTGTTATTCATTACACCACACCACATTTCTTATTAAATGTTCTGAACATAGCTTTCATTACAAGTTACCTGGAAGTGGTTGAAGATGAGATCCATAGGCAACAATCTTTTTGACATTATTCACATTATATGTAAGAAAATCTTTTCCATCCATCTTGTTAACACTGTAAATTTTACCATCTCTTTGATTTGACCAGTAGATTCTTGAGTGGTCAGCGGTTAGAGAGTTTGGGATTTCAACTGAAAGGATAAAAGAATTTAAATTTAAAAAAATGAAGGAAAAATGTTGGTTAAGAAAATGTTTTTCATTTATGATCAAATCACTTAAAAGTCACTAAAGGCAGCTGTCAACATTTTCACTGCTGTATTTTTATAGAATTTTATTATACTATTAGTTCACCAAATACAAGGCCCAAGAGCCACTCATGGTAGAGGGTTACTGAGTGAGATTATTGTAAGCGAGAGGGAAGGAGGGAATAAGAAGATTAAGTAAGATGTGCAAGATAGATATCGGTTGACCATGAACATGAAGAGACCGAGATTGTACTTGTCAAATAAGCATTCTTTCAGGAGTTTGTTCCACAAAGTAACAGTTCTGGAGGAAAAAGCTGTTCGATGGAACTTCCTCCTTATCAAAGGGACACAAAGGTCTGTGAATGTCTGAGCTGGTGGAAATAAGGAATGTAACTCCTCCAAACATCTTCTATAGTAATTGTGATAGAGTAGTTAGAGGCTAGCAAAGTTTCATCTAAGAGGGAAATTGGCTGCAGGGTGGAGGATAATTAATTACCCACAAGGCTGCATAATCGCTTTTGAACTCTGTCAGGGCTGGGCAATTAGGACTGGACAGCACCAGCCCAGATATGGCAGAGATTCTTGGTTTGATCTGACTCTTGTAAAAATAAAGCATGGTAGCAGGAGTTATGTTGCAAAAATTGGTTGGAAGCACACACAGGAAAAAAAAGTTAGTATGAGTTCAACAGGTTCACTAGGCAAAACAAATCCACACTTCTTCTTGATCTCCAATACTCTACTCACTGTCTCGAGCTAAAAGCTCAACACCTCTTAAATGAGCATATCATGTTTTTATGCACCTGACCCAGCCAACACTCAGCCAATGAGTACCCAGAACGAGCCAATAAAAATGGCTACAAGCAACACCACCACTTCTGTCCACATGATAATTGTGATAATTCCACAATTATTTCTGTTCCTCAATCTCAAGTACACAACTCCTTGGCAGAAATGAGACTCCTCTTGAATGAGCGTACCATGCTTTTATGTACCTGACTAGACATCGCTCAGCCAATGAGTGTCCAGAACCAGCCAATAAAAATGGCTACAAGCAACACCACCACCTCTATCAGTACAAAGTGCTGTCCATCTGAAGCTCGTCAATTTGTCATCTCCACACTTCCTTGCAAAACATACCCGTGGCTCTGGCCCTTTTGGGTTGCGAAAGTAAGTCACTGCTACAAGTTAGGTATTTTCTGAAGGGATTCAAGGGACCAACCATTCTTTCATTATCTTTTGCAATGGCACAAATATATGCATTCTATTTGAGGCCCTGAGTGAGCTTTAGAACCAGCAGGTGTTCAAGGTAAGGAGCATCCCTGAGGTTGTGACCACACATCAGGCTTCTTTATGGTCTTTAAGGTCTAATATGGTTTATTTTCTTCAATGTCTGAAAGATTAGAGTTTTATTTCTTAATCACCAACAATCAACATTTCAGATACTTACCTTCTTCAGGAGAATTTGGGGTGAATACTCTCTTACACTGGCAGCCCTTGTCATCAACTAGCCAAATACTTTTGTTCTTAAGTTCCATGAAATAAACATTTTCATTTGAATAGTCTATTCCAATTGTGCCAGCAATGGCCAAGTCTTGAGGACATTGGCATTTCCGCTGGGAGATGCTGCGTTTTTGGTGGTTGTGATCTATAGGTGGCAAAAGCTGCCTCGTGTCACTTCCGTCTGTGTTGCTTCTGAAAATCTTGTGTCTGCCATTATTTTTTTCTTCACTCCAATATAAAGTACTGCAAAAGAGATAAATATCACAATTAGACTAAAATATTGTTGATATAGTTTCATGTTTGATGATTTATTAAAAATATCTATTTATATACTTAATACATAATTAAAAATTCCAAAAATTTAATTTTAATCATTTCACCCCAAGCAAGGCAATAAATGCCACTAAGATGCAAGGGGTTACTGAGAGTGAAAGAAATAGAAAGGACAATAAAAGAACAGGTTTTAAAAAAAATGATGACAATGACTGACATTGCATTTAAATTTTTGTAGATTGTAGTTGACAGAAAAGCCAGAACTATTAACATAAAACTTATGGTTACAACTAGAAATTTCTAGAGTGAAATTATAAAACCTAACTTCCAATTTAGTATTGTGCTTAAATTTGTGAAGTCGAGGTACCAACTAGGAAAGCTCATCAGAACAATTACTGTCAAAATATTTATAAAAGAGGCAAAGGGAAGCTACATTACGGTGAGTGGAAAGTGCCTGAAGCCGAGATGGCAGGTCAATACTAATAACATTGTTGATTCTTCTTTGGATCTTGTCAAGAATCTCTAGATATAAAGCAGAAGCACCAGATTAGATGTGACTGCAATATTTGAGGCCTAGATGAATGATAGACATATAAATGTGCAAGATCAACCATAGCAAAAAATTTATCTGTTTAAAGATTTTCAGATTTCTCAGTGTTCGATAAATATATTCATAAGCAAATATCAAATTTATAAACTCTACATAAAAACACTAATTATTGTCACCTAACAACTTTCAAACAAAATTTTTTTTATGCAACAACATTTAAATTTAAATACTGTATATTTAAATACTGTATATTTCTGCCTATAAGACAACCTTTAAATCCCCAAAACCACCCTTAAAAATTAGGGGTCATCTTATACTACAATTTTAAAAAAGGAACCTTAAATTCTGAGTGATGCTTGTCAATATGCTAACCTCAGTCTCAGTGCGATAACCAATAACGTACATGAAAAGATTCACATTATCAAATAAATTGATAATAAAAGTAATAAAACTATTTCTACCTTACATATTGTTGGCATAACTTCATAATAAATTACCTATTCAAAGAATAAGTCCATATCAATGAAATCAACTTGCATCCATGCAAGCTCAGCTGAGAAAATGTAAACATTGAGTTATGAATGCATTCACAGCAAACTTTATCTTTTGCTAAACTTTCAATAATCATCATGGTAGTGTTAATTATGGAAGTAATAACATTTAGAATAACATAATATTCATTTCACATTAAAAATTTATTATCATTTTGGTGTTAAATATGAAGTATAAGTAAATGGCCATTAGTACACCAGACTGTTTGTAATTGTTTAGATATTGAGTAAGAAGAAAAAAATCAGTATTCATGAGATCACGTGTTGAAACTTAAACAAAGTAATGGTTTCCCTTTTAGAGCAGATTGATTTTTCATTTTTTAGAAAATCAAAATTGCACTCAGTGAGAAAAAAGGCAACTCAATGAATAAAGTTTGTTGGATCATTTATTAGATCATAATAAAAACAAAAATAGATAAAAAGACTATATAACACCCTAATACTTCTAGGCACAAATTATAAAACAAAATGTTTTAAATTTGTATTATTTATTGAAAATCACTACTGCATTGTGTAACATATTACATAATAAAATAGCTAAATTGTTCAGTATAATTTCCCTTTGAAGTAAATGAAGGTCATATTTGATGGGACAATGATTTCAAAATAATGTGCTTGTACTTTGCATTTTGTTCATATACAATTTGTAAAACTTCAGTAAATTATAAATTTTATAAGGCTGCACTATAAGGCTTTCACAGATCACCAAATTTTATAAGGCTGTGCTATAAGGCTTTCACTGATCACCAAATTTTATAAGGCTGTGCTATAAGGATTTCACTGATCACCAGATTTTATAAGGCTGTGCTATAAGGCTTTCACTGATCACCAAATTTTATAAGGCTGTGCTATAAGGTTTTCACTGATCACCAAATTTTATAAAGCTGTGCTACAAGACTTGCACTGATCACTGGAATGAAATTCCAATGCTACAATTTTGATCCTAAACTTAATTTTTAAACTCATTTCCTCAAAAAATAGTACTGATTTAGAAAAAAATATTTTATGTTGTTATTTAACATGCCAAATCCCAACTTTCAAGTTGAGTGTAATACCATGGTTTCAAAATCAACCTGCCCTATTATGCAGCTTTATGGGTAATGAATTATTTTCCACCCTGCAGCCTATTTCTGCCTTAGATGAAACATTGCTAGACCCTCACTACTCTATCGCTATTTCCATGGCAAATATTCACATGAATTACATCTCCACCAGTTTTGTCCTTCACAGCTAGAACCTGCCATGCTGGGTTCATGGTGGCAAACTATCCCTATCCCATTTGTGTTCCTTTGTTAAGTAGTAAGTTCCACTCAGACAGCTTCATCTCAGAACCCTTACTTTATAGAACAGGCTACACTCTTTACATCTTCTAATCTACGGTCAGTTTATATATGTCCTATATATCTTTATAATATATACCTTTTCCTTCTTCCTTACATGCTTACAACAATCTCATTCAGCAATCCTCTACCTTGAGTGGCTTTTGGGACTTGTATTGGTTAAAAATATTTAAAAAAACAGACATCAAAATTTTGTAAACATCATTTGTAAACCTTTGTTTCTGAAAACTGTCTTGTGTAACTCAGTACAAAAATAACCCTGTTTTTGTGAACTCCATTTGCTTGTTCTTTACCGTTTCTTCTACCACTTGCTTGACTGGCAAATTATTTTACTGTCATCTCTCTAAAGTTGGTCTTTCCTTTTTCCCTTACTTTTCTTACTCTCCTTGCATTAACATACATGGGTATATAAAAGTACTCACCTTGAATAAGGACTAACAGCAATACTTCCAATGCTTCCACTGCCAGACCAAAGTGTATGTGGCCTTTTCTTGTAAATGTTATATTTCTGGATTTCCTTTTCAGTGGACAGGTAGACTGTATGGTCAATCCAGTCAACTGTCAAATCTTTGATGCTTTCTTTTAAATTCATCAGCTGGAAAAGACCAAAGATCCAAATAAGATAAGCCCTGACTTTTAAAATATGAATAGTTCTCTCTTTGTTTAAATATTTGAAAAATGTTTAAACAAAAAAAAATTTTTTTTTCCTGATGATAGAAAAAAAAATGTTTCAGACTTACACTTATTTCTTTTGCTTTGCCATCACGCATAACCAGGTTTGTATCATTCTTCACCCAAAAAAAGAAATTGGTTTTTGCCAAGAAGGTGAAAGCCTTTGTTGGGACTTGAACAACTTCTTGGGAAAATTTCAATCCATTATCCAGCTCAGCCAAATTGATGCCTTCATTATTGGCAACAAGTAATTCAGGTAATGGTTTGGTATCTACAATAAAAAGTCACTTTGTTTTATTAAAAAAAAAATGTTTCATATACCTTAATACATTACAGTTAAATAAATTTCCACTTTGTTTTTTGGTTTTTTTTCTTTCTTTTTTTTGTTTTTTTTTTTTTTTTGGGTTATTATCATGTTTTTTGGTGATTGAGTCTACCAACTTTTTTCAGGTACTTCTTGACCCAGGTAACCTACAAGAAATTTTAAACTGAACACTTTATTTAATCTACAGGAGATTACTTCCATTCCACTGTTGATGTCTATGTATATCTTTTCTTGTCCTTTTTTTTGCTGTTCAGTTATTTTTCACACTATTTCCATTGAGTCTGAGTGTGTACTACCTCGTCCAGGGATTGTAGTCACAATTACTATGCTAACAAATTTACTAAATAAAAAGAAATACTCATCAAAAATCAGTTGATAATGGGTAACTATGTGTCATCTAATCAAAATTCAGGATACTATTACTTATTTATTTATAGCCAAAGAGTGATAAAAGCAACTTGTGATGAAAAGCAACTAAAATTAAGTATCTGTCTATATTTCTGAGATGAGGTATTATGTACACTATTTACATCAGGGATCGGCAACTCATTTGACTCTGCAGGCCGGATCGTGTTATAATGATGGGTCGCGGGCCGGACGAAGGCCATTAATGAAAAATTAAGGAAAATTACATATGCAGACCCCTGTCAACCTAAATATTTAAAACCATAATGTAAACATTGAGAAATCAAAAAAACAAAAGAAAATCTAAAATTAAAAAACACCTAACAAAGATTACTTTTCCTCAAGGAATGTCAAAATACTTCAAATGAAAAAAATCAACTGAAGTGAAATGGATGAAATTATGATGTGTAGGTTTGAAACTGTTATTGAAAATTGTTCCACAAACGAATGACACACACACACACATCAAGCAAAAATGAAGCACATATACCCATACGTGAGTACAAATAGTTGCAAACATATACACTTACGTACATACACATGCGGTATCATCCACACATTCATGAGGCATGTATGTATAATGCGCGTATGTTTAACTGTCTTTAGATTTCTGCTACCTCGCATGTCAGTCTCTCCCTGGCCTCTTTCACTTTATCGTTCCTCTCGTTTCTGTTACCTTTTAATGTAGCCAAGGGTCATAACAAATATGTATCCATTATTTGACATTAAACGTAGGCAATGCAACTTGGTAAAATAAGTCTCATGAAAGATAACTAGCAGATAGTCTAATATTTTTAGTGCACTGAGATGTGTAGAAATTCTATGGAAAATGACATATAACAAATTTCATTTGAAGGTCGTCTCTCATGTTAAAAATAGAGTCATTGGTAATCAGGCTCGTGGGCTGGTCAAAATGCCTTTGCGGGCCGTAGGTTGCCGGCCCTTGATTTACATCATTCAAATTATTGTCCTCATCTTTGTGGCCATATTTATTACAACCAGTGAGCGAAGTAAAGGGTTCAGTTCAACATTCCAACCACCTGAAGAAGGCCAGAGTGTACAACGGCCGAAACATAATAAATATGGCGACAAAGATAAGGACAATAGTCTGAATAATGTAAATAGTGAACTAAAATTAAAATGAAAGAAATACCATTAAAAAATTAATAATTGTTGACAGAGTTCCATCAAATAAAAATTCAAGATCATATTACTATTTATTTATTAATTGCTACTGATTAATGATTTTAGTCATTGCAATAAAAAGCAGCTGAAATTAAGATACAATAAATAGTAATTAAAAATCACTAATGGTTGCTACTGAGAACACTTGCATCAACCTTAAACTAGAATAACATTTCTAGTTTGTATGTGATAAATTCTTTTTTTAATTGGTATCACTACATGAAAGGCAGTAAAGTCACTAAGACACAAGGGGTTACAGGGTGTGGAAGAATTAGGAATAGAAACATTAATAATGAGCGAGAAGAGGAAAGAGTAATGAGATGGACAGTAGATAGTGATTAATAGTGCATTTAAATTTTTGCAGATTAAATTTGGCTGGAAAACATGGAGCCAAAAAGGAGTTCCACAAGCAGGAAGTGTGAGAAAATAAACTGTTACCATGGTGAAGAGCTCATCCAAACAATTACCACAAAAGTATTTATAGAAAAGACACAGAGAAGCAATCTTATGGTGGCGGGAAAGTGGCTGAAGCTAAGCCGCCAGATCAAGACTCTAATCTTAAAAGGTAATGATTTGGTGAGTCTGTAGTGAAAGAAGAGAGTTTTGGTTTGGCTTGGTTTGGTTTGTTTTACGGCATATCAACCTCAATGGGTTATTTAATGCTGACAACATTTTTATTGCTTGTAATATTTTTTCCAAAAATGTATTGCTGGTAATAATTTTTCCTTCAAAAACCTATTATTAAAACCTATTTTTACACTTTAATTGTATTTTGACCCAAGTTTGGGTTTTAACTATTTGCCCATAGCTGGGACCCTGATAGGTGCTACCACCCTGAGTCAGGGTGGACCTGGGAACACCAGCAATTAAGAGGTGGTTCCATGCTCCTCAAAACCTCCTGATCAGAAGCCTTGCTGTCGGACATAGTTTATCATCTTACCCAGGACGCGGAGGTAGTATATTGTCTTACCTGGGATGGGAAAGAAGAGACAATTTTACAGATCTGTCCAATTTTAGATCTTCACTAGATCCTTTTGAGGTCAGACAAGTCCACTGACTGTACTGAATGATGAGATGTTTTATAAATGCTGTTATAAAATTTATCATTTTGAGGAATACTCAACATAGAAACATAAAATTTTGGAAGATTTGATTTCAATGCGTATAATAATTTTAATGTAAGTCAATATTAAATTAGTGAAGTAATTAGTGAAGTCTGAATTTAAGAAATAATCCATAATTAATCGTGTTTATTTTTATAAAGTAAAGCATATTAATTTTAACTTCTATGAAAAAGTGGTTCGCATATTGATAGTATATTTAATTGTACTTACTGTTGCTGGTAATGGAAACTTTTTCGGACTTTTTGCTGCAGTTGTAAATTGTGCAGGCCTCAGTCTTTTAAATGAAGAAAGAAATATGAATGAAAAAATTATGAACATAACCTTTGTTGAAATTTGGATATTGTAAGGTGCAAGGTTCTTGTGGGCCCATTCCAAATCTATGATACAGATCCCCCCCTCCACTACATTTCAATTTTCATAAGATAGTATTCATATAAAACAGAAATTTTATTGTAACCTAATTATGTACAATAATGGATCAGATGCAATAAAGGTGAACAATTCAACTAGAAAAACAGAAAATAGATACAATGTACTTAAATAGAAACTAGAGACATGTCAGATCATTCCATCTGAAATAAATCAACAATATTTGCAGCAATTTTTAACATCAACTTGAAATTTTTGTTCAGTATCTGTCTATATTTCTGAGATGAGGTATTATGTACACTATTTACATTATTCGGACTATTACCCTCATCTTTGTTGCCATATTTATTACAACGTTTCAGCCATTTTATGCTCTGGCCTTCTTCAGGTGGTTGGAATGTTGAACTGAACCCTTAATTTCGCTCACTGGGGTAGACTGTTCTAGTTCCATGTGCCATGTTTAATGGATGTCAGAGTATAAAGGTGTTGGTTAGACCCAGTGACAAGACCCAAAGAGTGTGAGTTCAATACCTGGTTAAAGCAGCGGAGAGGGGAATTAACAGGAGATAACTGATAACTGACATCTATTAAACATGGCGCTTCGAACTAAAACAATCTACCCCAGTGAGTGAAATAAAAGGGTTCAGTTCGACATTCCAACCACCTGAAGTAGGCCGGAGCGTACAATGGCCAAAATGTTGAAATTTTTCTTGTTAAAAAATTGAATAATTTTAACACATGCAACATTATGGATCAAAAATAGTGAATTTTATATATAAGTATTATTTTTTTTAGACTTAGCATAAGCAAAACAAATTCACAGATTTGGCTAAAAAAACACCGGAATAACATCAAAATCCATGAAAATTTTTCATCCTAAATGATACTAAAACTAATTTGTAACATATATAAATGTAGGTAGGAAAAAAGCAAATATTTATAAGATAGTGAGGGTCACAAAACACTTCCCAGGGCCCCCAATCAGGTTCCCCTCATTTGGCAGGGGAGGTTAGAGTGTAGCATGCACAGACCATGATTGTGAACAGTAAATAAATCTTTATTAGGAGAGTAAAAAAAAAATTTGCTAAAAAAAAGGACAACAATCTCAACTTTATTCAATCCTGAATTCTTTAATCTTCTAGGCATAAAAACAAAATTATTCATTTTGAAAGATCTCCACCAGAATATTGGCTGGAGTTTCAGTATTAATTAAAGCCCAAAAGCAAGTGGGAAAGAAAAAAAAAACATAAAGGAAAAACAGATCATCATTACTTATCTTACCTGAAAAGTATAGGTTTCATTGATTTTCAAATGTTCCAAGATGAACTGACGAGTGTGTGGATCAACCTCAGATATTTTCCATTGATCTGGGGGAAACTGATTTGTCCTATAATAAACTTTATATTTCTCAAGCACTCCAAAGCGATTAGATGGTGCTGACCATCTTAAATCAGCAGACAGGAATTCATTGCTTGATGATAAATCTTTTCTCTCATTTATGTAGACTCTTGGATTGATTGGTTCATTTGGAACTGTAAAAAGACAAGTACAACATCAATAAATTACAGTAAGATCTTGTTATCTGCAGTAGATAGGTTCCAAGACAAAAAGTATGGAGAAATCCTTGGACAGCAGTGGACCATATACTAGGTAACAATCTTTTTGACATTACTTACATTATATCTAAGAAAATCTATACTATATTTTAGCCTCAAAATTGATATCCTGTCTTAAAAATGCAATAGAAAATGCAAGAAAATTTCTTAAGTCTTTTTTGTTTTTCCTACAAACAAAAAACCCCCAAATTTAATGCAATTTAATCTACTCCATAAGCCCATTGGATGACAGAGAGGACACAACTCTCTCACAACAAAATATATTTGATTTTTGAAACAAACTGAAAGAATTAAATGAATTAGAAATATTTTAATCAGCAATGAATGAAATTCCCAAGGTCTCATAACCCACGTCTATAATAACATTTATACTAATCAAGATAAGAATGATAGTTTAAATAAATTTAAAAAAGTACCACATCTACTAATGTAATGCGCAATCTTGCATATCATCCGATCCCCAAATTATCACTTATAAAATATGATTTTATCATGTCTCTTGTGTATCATGCAAGTTCCTTTTTTGAGAGACCAAATTACAATAGACTAACCTCTTTTCCTCTATCTCTTTATCCTATCTTCTAGTTAAATAAGTTTAAAAAGTAAAAGATAATGATAAAAGTATCATTAGTAATGCTATACTCTTTGCATAAATGCATGCAGCCATAAACAACTGAACAAGAAACAGCTAAACATCTTATAAACATAAACAATAGAAAAGATGCATATTCGCTATGTTTGTATTTTATAATACGATACTAATATGTGAATATTATATGAATTATTATTGGAGACTGTTAAGTAAAACATCAGTTTTATCAAAATCATTTATTTTAAATACACCTGTGCTTTTTGACTCCAATAAATGGATATATAGTTTGGTCAACGACATAGCCAGGACCAGCAGTACATCTGCTAATTTTATACCTCATGTATGATGCAACCCCCTTAAAATTAGCTTCAAAATTAGGTTTTCAAAAGTTGCATGATACACAAGTATATATGGTATATTGATATTCCCTTATCATAAAAATGAAATAAAAGATTAAAGGTCTTTGATAAAATTAACTGAATTAAAACTGGAATTGTATATTTTATAATGAAATTCCAAAATTATATTAAAGGTGACATAACGGTATAGAAATTAAAGGTGACATAACATTATAGAAATTATATTAAATTTGACATAATGTCATAGAAAGCCAAGGAAAATAGTTTGATGACTGAATAATGATACATTCATAGATATAAAAGATTTTGTCAAAAATTAATAGGTGTTTCACAATTTTTGAAACAAAATGATTGGGCAAAAATCAGGACCACAAATGATAGAGTAATAGAAATTACATTTATTAAAAGGTAAAAGGATAATATTTTAGCATCTGCAACCATTTAGTCTCAAACATGAACCAAAAATGTCAAGAAGAGCCATTTGCTCCAGATGTCCATCATTCAATTGAAGGCACCGTTGAATGCAAAGTTGTTAACATGTGCACATTCCTGCTGGGTAATCACTTGAATCTTCTCCATGATGGCTGCCTTCAATGCAGCAATGGTGCAAGGGTTGGCTGGTAGATGTTGTCCTTGAAGAACCCTCAGAGGAAGAAATCTGGGGGGTTCAGGTCAGACAAATGATGTGCCCATTCCACTTCAGCTTTGTAGCTGATGAGACACTCCCCAAACTTTTCACGGAGCCATGCTATGGTAACATTAGCAGTGTGGGGAGGAGCACCATCCTGCAAGAACCACTGTTCCTCCTCATCAATGTCCTCGCGCTCCTCATACTCTCCCCATCTGAGAGGCTGCTGCTCTGTTTCAACAATTGTGAAACACCCTGTAAAAAGCTGGAAACTTTTACATCAATTTAATAGTCTATGACATCAGTTTAATAGTTTTATTCTTTATGAAATCATAGAAAATATAATTTAATTTCTATTTAAGAAGAGCTAAATTTGAAATGACAATAAAGAATACAAAAGATGTTTACCTGACATGGGGGAATGTATCTTTAAAGTGGTCCATTCTGAGGATCCATAGTAAGTCAAAGCTTGTAAACTTACTGTCATTGATGTGTATGGAGGTAAATTGCTAATTGTATACTCAGGAGACTGTAAGTCCTGAAAAACAATATCTTTATAGGTTAAGATATGAAAAAAAGAAAAAGGTTCTTTGTATCAAAAGCCATTATTTAGATGCAGAGAGTATCTTTTTACATTTGTTTTTGTTTTCTTTAAAGTTTGTAGCATGAAGATTTTAAAAGGCCTTTTCACAATTGTTACAAGCTCTCCCACATCAGTTTCAATGGAGAAGTGAATAACTCTTAGGTTTGCACTCAAAGATTTAAAGTGGATAGTGATGTTTGCATTATTAATTACCTCTGTTAAACCAGACATTCATATGACATGGCCTAGAAAGGTGGGACATTAGCAGTAATGTTCTGCAAGTTTAATTTTCAGGGCCGATGTAATGGAATAACCTGTCACCCCCATGAGTGACTACACTATAGCTAGTAACTACCTATAAGTATCTGTAAGACAGCAGACTACAGAGTCTAGCTGGAATATGTTCCAACTGTGCTGTCGAAGTCTCTGCCTTCAGGCATAGAGGAACCCGGACGAGGCTCTGCCAAAGGGCAGAGTCTTGTTCAGGGAGGTAGACTGAACCAATCCTGTTTATGCGGATTCTACAGGGAATTTTTGCCCGAGCCTACGGGTTCGGAAGACCCACGTTAAACTCAGCCTTGTGTCATGTCTACCCTCATGGGGTGGCTAGTAAATACCGTCTAGCTGGAATATGTTTCAGCTGTGCTGTCGAAGTCTCTGCCTTTGAGCAGAGAGGAACCTGGATGAGGCTATGCCAAAGGGCAGAGTCTCGTCTGGAGAGGTAGACAGACCTGAACACATTTATGTGGGTTCTATGGGGAATTTTTGGCTGAGGCTTGGATGTCCCACATTAAACTCTGCCTTGTGCCACATCTACCCTTGGGTGGGTGGGTGCTAGCTGGGATCTGTTGAGTACAACTTAGACTTACACGAGAACTACCAACCTTCCAATAGTAGCACTCACTACTGGATTGACTTGTGACGTCCTTGTGCATAACTGTTACCTTTATTCTTATTGTATTGGTTTTACAATAAACCTTTACTTGTTTTATCCACCATGTTTTTCAAGTATATATTCCTATTAGTATGGAATATAACAAGGACAAAAATAAAATCATCATTAATAAAAAAATTAATAATCAATAGAATGTTATATTTAAATTTTAATTTTTTATCAATTTTCACTTCAAATAATTTTCTTGTTAAAAAGAATAATAAAGATGTTTATAAGTATAAAAAGTTGACAAATCAAAAACTAAACCCAAGACTTTGGTAAGAAAAAAAAAATAATTGCAACTTAATAATCTAGTATTTTATGTAGGTGCATCAATAAGTCCATAGCCTAATCATAAAAAACTGCATTTATTTTACACAATCAATACAGAGGAAATAGTTTATTGTTATCAAAATCTCTTGGTTCAAACACTTTATTTAAAATGAATTTAAAAATAATAATTTCAAATCAAAAAATTTTATACTAATTTTTTATATTGTAAAGTGGCTTATAACAATGAATAAAAATTGTTGCAATTTTATATTCTTTGCTTAATGTCATTAGCCAGTTATTGTCATCTAAAAGACCCAGTCCCTATGTGATCACACTATGTGACTTCTCTGCTACTACTACTAATGATAATAATAAACATTCTTTTATAAAAATGAAGTCATTTATAACAATAAATTTAATAATAATGAATGTAAATTGCTTCAATTTTCATATTCTTCACTTAATGTTATTACTAAGTTATTTTATCAAAAAACTTTTTCATCCCAAAGTGAACACAATAAGCAGTTTCCTCTGTATTTTTCAACATAATCTAATTCCATGTCAATGCACTTAATTCAGTGATGGAAAAAAATCACAAATCATTATAAAATAGAAATTTTAAATAAACATTTTTTTTATTTACTGGTTCAGGCTATAGACTTAGTGATCAACCTTTATAAACATTTGAGAATGAATATTGGAACATCTATTTTGAAATTTAAACTTACAAGTGTCTTGTTGTGTTCTTTGAATTCTTCCACAATAAGATTCATCTGGTAATAGACTTCTCCATAATTAATTTCTGTAGCCTTTCTCCAGGAAATTTTAAATACTGACCAGTTGCCCTCGACTTTCACAGATTCTGGGGATATTTTGTCAGGGACCACTTTAACTGTATGTTCATCTAAGCCATCTACAAACAAATGAAATCTTTTTTAAAGATCATAAATCAGAGTCAATGAAAATGATTTAAACCTTCTTAAATCATAAGAAGAATATTCCAATGATGTCAGCACAATATAGGAAAAATGATTTAAATCCAAAAGAGGATAAAACACATTGGTAAATAGTTTTTTTTTTTCTTTTCATTCATATTGTTTTTTACAGATATATTTTTCACTTATATCTGAATTTATACACACATATGTGTATGAATATACACACATTTATATATGAATTTATACACACATACCTATGTTTAAAATGAGATTCAGTGTTATATTTTTTGTTTACTTTTTAATTACAGAGATAATCAAAGTAATGATGTGAATTAACGTTCCAATTAAGATTACTTCAGGTGGGGGAAATAGTCATATAATAAATCAACTTACCTGGGTATTTATGCATTGAAGGGTGAAATAAAGAGAATGATAAAATCTTGTTATTCGCTTTGGATATTCTAGAAATGTTTCGACCTGACATGTCACTGATAACGAGTTGACTTTCATCATCAGTCCAAAAAAGATGGTTGCTATAGTATTGAAGCCGGGTCATTCTGCAGCAAGAAATTATCACATGTACAATTAATAACAAGGAAAAAAAATAAAGTCTGACTTACAAAAACAAAAAAAAAAATGAATGAAACATCAAAATTAGGACTTCAAAAATTATGAATGCATTTCTGACACCCAGGAATATTCAAAGCTTTCAGAGACAGAAACAGTAATACCAAAGAAAAATCAACAAATTCAAAACATTTAGAGATTGAGAAATCAATTATTGGCTAAATTTCAACCTGACATTTTCACTGAACATTATTTAAGCTACATAATCTTTAAAGAAGCATTTAGTTAAAAGAATTGACAAACAGGAGAATATGCTGAAAAATAAATATTTATCTTAAGTAAATACTTCTTTCCCAAAACTGTTGACTTATTTCTTTTTTCTATTTTTCATTTTTTTAAGCAATTCACCCCAAGCAAGGTGGGAGTGCCACTAGTACTCAAGGGGCTACAGAGAGTGTAAGGGAAAAGACTTGGTATAAGGGAAGGATAAAAAGAAGAATGGAGGAGGATAAAAAGAAGAACAAAAACCAAGACAACAGAAAATATCGATTGACATTACATTTAAATTTTTGAAGATTATAGTTATCAGGGAAGCAAGTAAGAGGAAGGGAGTTCTACTGTCGAGAAGTGTGAGAGAAGAAGCTGTTGGACTAGAAGAGGTGGTTACATTTAACTGTTTCAACGGTAAAAGGGTGGGACCAATATGCCAACCTAGTAGCAAGCTTAAATTCACGCAGTCAGGGCACCAGTGAAAATAGCTTGTCAGAGCAGATGCCATAAAAATATTCATAGAAAAGACAGAGGGAAGCCACTTTGCATTGGTGAGAAAGTGACTGGAGTCAAGACCCAAGTCCTGACCAATCATATTGCATATCTGTCTTTGGGTTTTGTTGAGAACCTCAAGATTAACAAACCTATGTAAGCAAACAGAAGAGTATATACATACCTACTAATTATATAGCCTTTATATTAATAACAAATAGTTTCAGATTAAATAATCAGTTAATTGCTTAAAAATTATTTTGTTTACATTTCAGGTATAAAAATAAAGTTTGTAGATATGGACTTTGAAAGGTCCAAACAAGAGATATGCATTACCTAAATAAGGTAATTGAGGATTGCTTTATGATGGTGGCTTTCCATGGCCTAATTGGTAAGCTACACTTAGCTTAAAAATGGTTTCTTGATGGAAAAACAGAATTCAGGTTTAATCACTGTCAAGCATATTTTCTTGGGTAGGATTTCTCAATCTCTAAGTTTGTTGACATTAATTTTCAATGTTTAAGAAAACAGACATGTCTACTCAAAAACATCTAAATATAACATTTATATTAGTAAGTCCTATATATATATATATATATATATATATATATATATATAATAGCTAGCCACACATATTTGAGGATACCTGTCTACTAGGATGGTTAGACAATCCCTATTGCAGATGCTTGTCTAGGAGTTCTTGCACTTTTCTTTCCATATCTGCCATCAATATTGTGCCATCTGCATATCTTATACTGTTAAAATTGTCCCTATAAATAATAAATCCTAGTAGGACTTCTAGTTATCTTAGGATTGCCTTGCTGCAAAATTTGAATAAATCCGGTGAGAAGACACATCCTTGTCTTGCACCCATTTCATTTTATAAAATTCTTTAGAATAGAAATGAAACTATATCTTGAAGTAGAATGTGAATTATTTTGAGAAATAATTCTACTAAAATTGATTGCAGTTGTTGTTCTTTGATCAATAATATTCCTTCAATTCTAATTGAATATCCAAATTACCACCCACTACTACCAACTGGAATATTCATCTGTTTTCTGCAGTTGATGCAACCAACAAGCACTTCCCAGCATCTCTGACTCATTTCACCCAACATATGATACTCAGGTTTTCCCTCTCAGCCACCCCTTTTGTCTTGATGCCCTTCATCTAACCCCCCACACCCTTCAATCCATCCTTTTTACTCTGCATACCACAGCCAAGAGGAGATGGATTACTGCTCTGTTTTCCCATACTGAATGAAACCATTGAATTTGAAACTACTTACAAGTGCTTTTAAACTAAAGAGGCGGCCATTCCTTGACATTACCCCCTTCTTTTTAGTCTGATGCCCTTCCACATTGGTGTAGGGACCCTCTCACACATCATCCCCCTACAGTTTTTCTTTTGGTCTTTAAATGTAAGTGGAATACAAAAATCTTTTACAACCATTCATGGCTGCAAAGCTAACCTATATTTACATACAAAGTAAACTAAGTAAAATAATTTACCTTATCTCTCCTTCTCTCTCTCTCTCTCTCTCTCTATATATATATATATATATATATATATATATATATATTATTTAAAAAAAAAAATTATAACATAAGTATGTTATAAAATCACTACAAAAATAGCCATTTTGTTTCAACACACTCTGTGTCTTATCAAGTGATGATGTTGAAAATAAAAAATATATATATATATATATATATTAAAGCTTCATCAGAGATTAAGAGAAAACAGACAAAAAAAAACCTGGTATTTTCAATTATGTTTGGGTCAGTTCTTATTGATCAGCCATGTATCACATGTATTAAAACCATAGATGTGTATATAGGCTTATAAAAATCTTCACAAATCTACATGCACATTGATTTTGTTAACTGCACAGTATAGTAGAGTCAGTTGGGCACCGTCTGTGAGAAAAAGAGCACCATGATGCAATTCACTCCACCAGAAATTTGAAATCTAATGGTGATTAGGAAGGCTTTTGGGGTGATTACTAGTGATGGTGACATTATGCCTCCATTCATCTTCCAACAGGACCTCAGACTCAACATGGAGGCCTACATCAAGTGCCTTGAGGAGGCGGTGTTGCCCTGGGTCAAGAGGGTAGCTACTGGAAAACCCTGTATCTGGCAAACAGGACTCTGCACCTTGCTACACAAGCAGGAGAACCCAGTCATGGCTGCCAGACAATTTTTGCGACCATATCACCTTTTACACCTGGTCACCTAACTCCCCAGATTGCAAGCCCCTTCATTATTATGCATGTATCACAGTTGAGTGAGAGACCAACAAAATGCCTTGTAAGGATTATGGCAGCATTCACCAACTTAAACAAGGAGACCATCCAGAAGAGTTGCAATCGTCTAGAGGCCAAGGTTGAAGCCAATGGTGATTTTATTGAATAAATAGTATTTCAAGATATTTTTGTGTAATTTTGGTAAATATATCAGTTAAAATGAGATGTTAATATTATTTTCATTTTTGCATAATTTAGTTGACAATTTATCCATCGCAATTTGTAATTATGATAAATGTAAGAATTTCTAGATGAAAAATGGGTCTTATATGCCATTAAATATGTAAATATTAAAGAGAAATCCCGTCGGAGTAAACATTTCTTCAAGGATAGCTTTATCTGTAAAAACTTCAAAAATTAAACTCTTCATAATAAACAAATTTTGTAAAACACATCACCAAATCAAATGGAGAGAAAAGGGTCTAATTAAAGAAAAGAGACAGATCATCATAAGCTTCATAGATATGGCATTACAGGACAATTATTTGACTTAATACAATCATTCCTGTCAAACTGTGAAATGGAGTCATCCTAAATGGCTTCTCCTCCAGCTTCTTTATCACAAATGCTGGTGTGTCCCAAGGCTCTATCTTGGGTCCTACACTGTTCCTGATCTTCATTAATGACCTTCCCAATGTCATCAGTTCCCAAGTAGGCATCTTCATGGATGACACTACTATTTACTCATGCCTCAATAGAAAATCTGGTATCATTGACAAAACTAACCTGGCCACCAGTCTTGAAAAGGACCTCCAATCTGTGGTTAAATGGGGCTTGTAAACTTCAATGCCTCCAAAACAAAACTGCTCTCTTTTACCCACCACAGAGAACCCTCCCTGCCTCCCATCAAAATGGCTGATGCCCAACACCATGAGAGCACCTCGTTGCACCTGCTTGGTCTCATGTTGTCTGCTGATATGCAGTGGAACAAATACATAGACTCAATAGCTTTATCTACCGCAAGGAAAGATGGTTCTCTGTGTCGTGCTAGAAAATATTTCTTGAGTCCATCCTTCAAATCTATAAAACAACTATCCATCCTTGCATGGAAATATTGCTGTCATATATGGTCTAGTGCCTCCACTGTAAGTTTCAAGGTCATAGACAAAAGTGAGAGATGGATATGCAATGTGATAGGTCTTGATCTGGCATCTCACCTACAGTAGCTTTCTCACAGATGTGCAATGGCTTTCCTCTGTCTCTTCTATAGATATTTTCACAGCAACTGTTCCGACAAGTTACTTTCTCAGGTTCCCAGATTGCATGAATTTAAGCAAGCTACTAGGTTGGTATCTCAGTTCCACCCTTTCACTATAAAAACAGGTAAATTTAACCATCTCTTCTGCTCAAACAGCTTTTTCTCCCGCACTTCTCATCTGTGGAATTCTCTTCCTCTTACTTGCTTCCCTGATAACTATAAACTTCAAATATTCAAGTGTAATGTCAATCAACATCTTCTGATACCTTGATCTTGTTCCCCCTGTCCTTCTCTTTATCCTCCCCCTAAACACGCCTCTTTACTCTCTGTAACCTCTTGTGTACTAGTGTCACTCCTGCCTTGCTTGGGGTGAAATTCTTTAAAAAAATTCTCAAATGGGAAGGAAAAGTCAAGGTTAAGTAAAATAGAAAGAAAAGAGCTAGGTTAAGTCAGAAATAGAAAAAAAAAGCAGCTTGAAGTCAAATGGAGAAAAGTGGACATGGTCAAATGAAATGGAGAGAAAAGGACAAGGTCATATAAAATGGAGAGAAAATTCAAGTAAAATAGTGAGAACTGGGCAAGGTCAAAAGGCAACATGAAACCAATTGTAGACAATAGGTCAAAGACATGTAAAGTAAGGTCAAGGTCAAATCAGAAAAGAGCAAACAGATAGCATACCTTCAATTAGTAACCACTTAGAAACACTTTGTAAGGTAAGCAACTTTTGGTCTTCTGTCCACATAAGCAAATTTTAGTAAATGAAGAAATAGTAGTGATAAGATTATATTGCAAATAATAAATATACCAGATATAAAGAAATTGTCTTCTTAGAAAATCATTATTTGAAATCCTGTTTTTTTCTTTTATCTAAGCTAGAACAACAACCTTGAGAACTGAAGGCAAATATTTTTTTAGCAAAAAGCAAAATACAAGTTTTCCTTTTGATTATTCCATGACAGATAATTGCCAAAACTATTGACAGAAAACGGTATGGTTTTCTTTTTAACTCAAAAATGTAAATGCTCCCAGAATGCTTTGCCATTACTGAATGCAGGAAATGGTGAATATAATAATGGAACAAAGTGTAAAAACACACTCACCTTTGTGGCCTCTTT